TCAACTCACGAATCCATTTGAATCCATATCATTTGATCTTTTAAGGATCCAAATGTTTTTTTTATATATACTCATGGTATCACCATACTTAAAACTCAAAAAAAAAAAAATTCTTCTCCCATTGTCATTCATGTGCTTAATTGGGAGAATTGGAAAAATGGGACACTTTGAACTTTTATTTGTCATTCTAGGACTTTTCATACTCTGGTATGTTTTGGACAAGTTTTGCCCTTGTGTAGTCAAAAAAATAGTAAACGAACTTTTTAAAATATAGAAAAATATCCAAACTATAGTAAACACAAGGATAAGTATTTATATGTTTAAATTATTTTTAAGAAAATTTTGAAAACATGTTTTAATTTATGTTCTAGCTACGAACAAAATACATATTCTGGCCATCTACTGTGTCTATAGTTTGGATTCAAAGTATTACACGTAGAACTAGCCAAGGCATATAACGCAAACAAAACTTCCTTGTAAATTCTGACCAAGTTATAATACATTTGGCTATAGTCTAGCTAGATGTCATTAAAATACCTCGAGTTTGATTTCAATTTATACTCACCACTCTACGATATACCTTTAAATATTTGTGTGTCATAACGTGTTCTACCTTTTAGCTTATGTTACGAATAAAGAAGGATGTACTTCCCACCCACACCACATTATTCTTCCCAGTGTATGACCCATATCATAGCCTGGTCACGAGAAATACAAGGAAGTTTCCATTTTCGGTTATTTTGTTACCTAAATCTATGCTAAATCTTTGTGTAAATATTCCCTAAATCTCTCACAATATCTCACAAATATCTTCTCCCACGTTCTTCTCCTCCTCCCACGATCCTTCTTTCACCATTCTCGGTTCCAATCTTTTCTTCATCAACAAAAAATCTATTCTCTCTTTCAGAAGAACATGGTTCTAATCTATGTTAAATCCGGTTCATGGACGTCTAGTTGGAGTGACCAGTGGAGTTTCGCAGTAGAGAAAGGAAGGGGTGGTCGAATGGTAACATTAGAAACAAGTACACTGTTGGAACAGCTCAAGATCATGGTCTGTGACGATTTTGGGGTGGACCCTAATGTTGTTACTGTCGATTTTAGTTATGAGATGGTCAATCAGAGAGGAAATCCTCCCATTATTATCACCAATGATCGACAAGTGTCTAATTTTGTGTGCTATGTGAAGAAGGGTGCCTCTACCACCTTGTGTGTCACGTTCTCCGTTGGTGTTAAGGAACGAGTCAATATCGATTTGAATAAAGAGCCTTCTGATGCAAGTAATGTTGAGGATGACAAAGTTCATGAAAGAAATCGAACTGAATTTGTCAAACCATCGAAGGAGGCTTCTAAGAAAAGTAAGGATCATGCCGAGGAGAATGGTTCTTCAGAACCTGGTTTTGGGATAGAAAACAATGGACATAGTGAAAAGGCTGACCGAATTCGGAGATCAGATTACGTGAAGAAGGATCAGATTTTTAGAAACAAAGCTTTTCTAAAGGCAACGATGGAAATATGGACTATGCAGAACCACTTTGATTACATTGTTGTCAAATCCACCACAAAATGGTGGTATATACGATGTAAGGATAGGCAGTGCAAGTGGACTGTGCGTGCAGAATGTCTGGATGGGTCTACATATTTCATGATCAATAAGTGTGTGACAAATCATTCATGTGCTCCTTCAAAGAAGAGCAATTTTGGAAGAAAAGCCTCAGCAAGAACGATTGCCACTCTGATACAACATCGTTTTGATGATGCCAATGATGGCCCAAGAGCAAATGAGATTATCCAGTTTATGAGAATGGAGTATAGCTGCGAGATTAGTTATTGGCAGGCTTGGGAAGCTCGTGAGTATGCCATTGCTGCTGCTAGAGGTATACCAGATGAAAGTTATGCTAAAATACCAAAATATTTGCATATGATGAAAGAAGCAAATCCTGGAACGCACACTGGCTATCAAACAAAAGAGGATGGCAGATTCTTGTATCTTTTTTTGTCGTTTGGGCAATCAGTTAGAGGATACCACAGAACAATGCGGAGGGTGATTGTTGTTGATGGAACTTTTCTGAAAAATAAATACAAAGGAGTTCTACTAGTTGCTACAGCTGTAGATGGTAACTCTAATTTGTATCCGGTTGCATTTGGAGTTGTCGATTCTGAGAACGACGATTCACTGGAGTGGTTCTTTAGACAGCTGAATGTTGTTATCGCTGATAGTAAAGACTTAGCTTTTGTGTCAGACAGAAACCCGTCAATTGCTAAAGGCATTGCGACCGTCTACCCTCAATCAACACATGGAATTTGTATCCACCACTTGTTGACCAATGTGGTTACTA